CATATATTAATAGAACTATTAGATGCAAACTTACTTATACTATTAATAGACTGCAGATAGACTTACTTGCATACTATATTAATAGAATGCAGATAGACTTACTTATACATACTATTAATAGACTGCAGATAGACTTACTTATACTATTGATAGACTGCAGATAGACTTACTTATACTATTGATAGAATGCAGATAGACTTACTTATACTATTAATAGACTGCAGATAGACTTACTTATAGACTGCAGATAGACTTACTTATACATACTATTAATAGAATGCAGATAGACTTACTCATACTATCAATAGACTGCAGATAGACTTACTTATACATACTATTAATAGACTGCAGATAGACTTACTTATACTATTGATAGAATGCAGATAGACTTACTTATACTATCAATAGACTGCAGATAGACTTACTTATACATACTATTAATAGAATGCAGATAGACTTACTCATACTATCATTAGACTGCAGATAGACTTACTTATACTATTAATAGACTGCAGATAGACTTACTTATACTATTGATAGACTGCAGATAGACTTACTTATACTATTAATAGACTGCAGATAGACTTACTTATACATATTATTAATAGAATGCAGATAGACTTACTCATACTATCAATAGACTGCAGATAGACTTACTTATATAATAGACTGCAGATAGACTTACTTATACTATTGATAGAATGCAGATAGACTTACTTATACAGATAGACTTACTTATACTATTAATAGACTGCAGATAGACTTACTTATACTATTAATAGATTGCAGATAGACTTACTTATACATACTATTAATAGACTGCAGATAGACTTACTTATACTATTTAATAGACTGCAGATAGACTTACTTATACATATATTAATAGACTGCAGATAGACTTACTTATACATACTATTAATAGACTGCAGATAGACTTACTTATACATACTATTAATAGACTGCAGATAGACTTACTCATACTATCATTAGACTGCAGATAGACATACTTATACTATTAATAGACTGCAGATAGACTTACTTATACTATTAATAGACTGCAGATAGACTTACTTATAGACTGCAGATAGACTTACTTATACATACTATTAATAGACTGCAGATAGACTTACTTATACTATTGATAGAATGCAGATAGACTTACTTATACTATCATTAGACTGCAGATAGACTTACTTATACTATTGATAGAATGCAGATAGACTTACTTATACTATTGATAGAATGCAGATAGACTTACTTATACATACTATTAATAGACTGCAGATAGACTTACTTATACATACTATTAATAGAATGCAGATAGACTTACTCATACTATCAATAGACTGCAGATAGACTTACTTATACTATTAATAGAATGCAGATAGACTTATGATATTAATAGAATGCAGATAGACTTACTTATACTATTAATAGAATGCAGATAGACTTACTTATACTATTAATAGAATGCAGATAGACTTACTTATGCTATTAATAGAATGCAGATAGACTTACTTATACTATTAATAGAATGCAGATAGACTTACTTATACTATTAATAGAATGCAGATAGACTTACTTATACTATTAATAGAATGCAGATAGACTTACTTATACTATTAATAGAATGCAGATAGACAGATTGACTTACTTATACTATTAATAGAATGCAGATAGACTTACTTATACTATTAATAGAATGCAGATAGACTTACTTATACTATTAATAGAATGCAGATAGACTTACTTATACTATTAATAGAATGCAGATAGACTTATAATATTAATAGAATGCAGATTGATAGATTGATTATTGTCTTGATTTACAATGAGATTTGATAGATTCTGTGTTTTCAAGAAGCAGAAAAGCAGACGGGGCTTTGCTTTCTTTTAAATAGTTGCACCCTTTGGTGAGACACCTTACCCTTAGTTCCCATTTCTCTGTGGATGGCATGCGACTGCCTCCAGTATGTTGTTCAGTAAGGTAAGAACCAGCTATCATGAAGATCCTCCTCCAATTGGCCCCCAGCTTGTTCACAGGATAATTAACCTGACAAACAAACACTGGCAAACAGTGTCATGTGTGAAGATTAATTGGAGGGAATTTGTTTTCCTTGAAGCGTGATAAAAAAAGAAGGCGGGGACTATCCTCTCATTCTCTTTTGGTGGGCATCTTCAATCTTCTGACATCTGAAAACTAAATCTGAGATATATTCTTGTAGAGTGTTGAAAATGACCTACTTTGTGTGAACTATGTGGATGCTTATTCAGGGCATGATAGGTAGCCAGTCGGTACGATTGTAGCAGAATATGTCGCACCTTGATAGAATTGGCTCATATTACTCCCGTGTTCTGTGACAAATCATATTAGAGAGTAATAAAGCATTATAAAAGTGTGTTAAACAGGATCAGATTGAAACTTGAGGGATCATGTTTCCATGTTCACCAAGTTTCCGAATGATAACACATCAAGGTCTGACATCCTTCATTACGCTCTGTTAAGGTCTTCTACACTCTGTTACATTTTCACGCCAGCTGAAGATTTTGCGTCAAATTGAATTAATCTTGTCAAAATTTTTGATAATTAAAAATGTTTTGATAGTCCTCACCGTCTTTACAATTCCACTAAATTCTGTGTAATTTTTCATGTCTTATATGATAAGCAGCTGTCATTTCAGACCAATTACATGTTAATCACATTGTGCATCAAAGCAGTTTAACTAGATTTCAGTGATTCTCATTGTGGTTGTTGTTAGGAAAGCAGCATGCCCCCATAATTTAAGAAACCTTGTTATCAGATAAATTTTCAAAATAAAAACTTTTAACCTTGAAATTGATTTAATTAGTTAACTTCATAATCACATTTGTGTATCTTCTCAGCGATGAGAGGTAAGCTCTGTGGCCGTGAATGTTGCGTTGTTGAAACAAATGAAATTAAATTGTTTGAAACTGTTCTAGAATGCTTGATTTTTGAGATCATGATGAAAAAATATTTAAATAAACACAGAGCTACTTTAGTCCTATCTTATCTGTCACATTCCCATCACTTTCTCGGGGTCTTTATAGAATTATTGATATATATAATCTGTTTAATGATATATTTATGGTATCACAGCAAATGTATCTCCATTTAAAAAGAGCTTCAGTCTGAATTGACTTTAAAAACTCTTTGAAACATTTTTTTTTTTTGAAAAATAAATTTGAAGACAAATTCCCTGATTCACTGTAAGGTTTGAAATTTGCATGTTTCTTGTAAACTGTAGTTCACTGTGTAGCTTTAAAAGCTAATTAGGTCATGCTAATTAATAAGCCCACTTCTATCAAACAAATATTGTTCCGCTTTCCTGTATTTCCTCTTTGAGTTCGAATTTCTGTGTCAGAATCAGCAATGGACTTATTTTGCGGATTAGATTAAGAAAAGAAGGCTATTGAAGCACTTATTTGCTCCTCTACCTGTGCAACGAACCAGATTGAGGGGACTGTATTTTCCTCTCGGTCCATAGGTCCGTCTGTCCCTACGTCCGTCTGTCCCTTCATTTGTGACTTTGTCAGCACTCCAGCAGTTTCATTCCTTGACAGGTCCTCTTCAAAATTCACAGGCTTATAAATCTGATTGTCGTAGACATGACCTAGTTTGCGAGCTATTGGTTTAAGGTCAAGATCACTGCAGTTATTTTTTAGAAAAACACTGTCAGCACTCTTGCTTGTATGGGCCATGAGAGGACACAGTAATACTAAGTATGCTTGTTGGTATTGCCACTTACAGTGTAAGGTTGCATGCTCATGTATCAAAGATTAAGTTTGTGATTCTTAAATCTCAATCGTTACTAGCATCAATATAATATTTCTGTGTCAAGTGGTTCTCCACACATTCTAGTTTACTAAACATAATTAACATTACAATGATCAAAAAAGGATAATTACACTTTATCAGTTATATTGCTCTGTTTATTTCAGATGTTATTTTAACACTTGTGGTAAATCTAAAGCTATATGCTATACCCGCATTTGACAATTCACTAAAAAAGTGTGAGCTATGCCTAATCCGATATTGACATTGTTCGTGTACCGAAGGAAAGCGATGCAGTCTAGAATACTCTTGAAAAGGAAGGAATTATTGTCGTTCAAAGAACATCCTAATTGTATGAAAGCTTAGGGAAAGTACAAGATTTAGTTAACCCTCATACTGCTAGAACTCTCTCAGGATCCACAGCGATTGTACAGATTTTACCATTTCTCCCCAAGTCGTCGTTAATGCTTAGTTACCTAAATTGCTCTCAGATTTCTGTGCTGTTAATAAATATGTGGTGGTGGTCTTTCTTGGTAATCATACCAAAGGTGTACTATTTCAGAGACAGCTAAAACACCTTAGATACCTATGTATAGACAGTTTTTATAATACTGTTCCAACAATAAGCCCATGCCCGGTAATAAGCCCGCCTGCATCTATTGTAGTGTCAACAAAATCTACATAACTGTCCAGTAGTAAGACCACCTCATGGATTTGATATTATACCCTTAGCTAATATTGCCAGATGAATACTTAAAATAAAAATGAAAGGAAAAAAAATGGAAGCCCAGTAAACGTGTGAGAAAATTCAACAAAAATCCTTTTATTCCCTTCCATTTCTGTAATTTTCACTTGATTCATAAACAGATAGATTTTGTCTGTTTGCAACATGCTTACTTGTTCTATATATTTCATTTTTTCTAGATCTTGAAAGTTAAAGAAAAATCTTAGCTTTTCCTAAAACTGGTCATATTCAGTTTTTTCCTGTCATTACCTTATAAATGTTGTAATATTTTAATTAAATGTGGTCTACAGAAAATAGCAGATCTGTAGCATTTCTACTTCCAACTAAGGAACCATTGAGTATATCCTGCCCTATATGCCTCTTGTGAAGAAAAATCAACTTTATTAACTGGTATTCAATGATTCTCATCTAATAAAGTTTTATCATTGATCTTATCATTCTATCGTTATCAATATTTTGTAGCAACAACCTTTGGAAAGATTTTTCTGCGGCCACCCCCTGCTCCAGCGACGTTACAGAAGAAGAGATCAGTTAGGGAAGATTCGCCTGTTGGTCAAGGTGAAGAAGACATGAAGAGAGCAGCATTTGTGTATCACTTCCTCACCAATGAGTATGATGAATGATCAGACTGGTCAGTGGGATTGACCAGTGAGTGACCGTGAGATGACCATAGGGAACAATCTACAGAAACTGGTGTTGTAGTTAGTGTTTGATCTCAATGAGTGACCACACCTCTAGGGCCAGAGGTAATGACTGACCACGGGTGAGTTTAGATTATCTATTCAGCCTCTATTGTCTGTGTGAGTGACCATCTGGACTGTCCATAATGAGTGACCAGAGGTGACCATCTAGACTGTCCACAGTGAGAGAGTGACCAAAGGTGACCATCTGGACTGTCCACAGTGAGAGAGTGACCAGAGGTGACATTTGAACTGTCCACAGTGAGAGAGTGACCAGAGGTGACATCTGAACTGTCCACAGTAAATGAGTGACCAGAGGTGACCATCTGAACTGTCCATTCTGAATGATCAAAAGTGACCATCTCAAGACACAACTGATTATGTAGTGACCATTCCCAGAGAATGACCATCTGAACTGACTACAGATTGAACAGACATTCTTAGACCATAGTAATTATTGACACAACCATACTGTGTGACCAGAGACAGTTACAGAGAAGTGGTTAAACCATGTTGTAACTGAAAAAAACTATACCATCAAGAACAAACAGAAGCATAAATTGTTAGCAGTCTTTTCAAAATACACACAGGTTAGATTTAGAACAATTATAAAAACATGTATTGCTGGTCATTTGTTTTTAGATGAAGGTCATAACAGAAATTTGAAGAATGGCTATAATTTCCCTGTTATCAGTGTAATAACACAGATCACATGATGTGTTAGGACAGCCTGGGATTGGCTGAAGGTTCTGTTTGTTTCAATCGAGGAAAGAATTTATCGAAATGGTGTTTTCACATATGCTTCTAATACCAACTAGACAGTTATTTATGCAGAAAGGATATTTTTCGTTTTTTTACGATCACGACGAAGATTTAATCTGTGAAATATTGAGACATATGTATTGTGTGTCATTTTACGTTCAAACTATTAAATTTTAATATGTTAAAATATAATAAGATCATTTTAAAAGAAATCAATGGAAATTACTTTCTATACAGTATTTAAGTACATATAATGTTAATGTGAATATTACATTGTCAGGGTCTAGGTAAAGTTTGAAATCGGTTACTGGTTTCATTAATCTGCTATGAAAAGGTTTTATACCAAACCAATGGTCAGATCTTAAGGTAGGTTTTATACCACACTAATGGTCAGATCTTAAAAATTTCATACCACACTAATGGTCAGATCTTAAGGATTTTATACAACACTAATGGTCAAATCGTAAGGATTTTATACCACACTAATGGTCAGACCTTAAGGTTTTATACCAAACCAATGGTCATATCTTAAGGATTTTATACCACACTAATGGTCAGATCTTAAAAATTTTATACCACACTAATGGTCAGATCTTAAAAATTTTATACCACACTAATGGTCAGATCTTAAGGATTTTGTATGTAGATGGTCACTTTCAGATGACTTTCTAAATGGTCATCGAAGAAATGTTGCGAGTGGTCACTTAATGAGTAAGGAAGAGGAGAATTAGAAACCATTCCATTTTGTGTGATAATAATTGTCTGTGATTGTAAATCAATCGATACCAGTGCAGTGTTGTAGAAATATAATCATTTCCAAAATTATTTGTTTTCTAGAAAATTATTCAATTTAAATTCAAACCACAAATTAATGCTGTGTGGAAAATATTTGTGTAATTTTTTTTTTTAAAGTGCTTCAGTCTTATTTACTCTTAAGGCTTTTCAGGTAGTGTGTTGCTTAGAATTGCTTCTCTTTCTGACAATCAGTTTTTGAGTAGATCACATTTAAAGGAAGAAAACTTGGTAGTGTTAAAGGTTGCTCGTATCTTTTGCTGCTTAATTCAGTGGCTGAGATATTTTGATTCAGTAAACGTTTGTACCAACTTGAAGGTAGAAAGATGCTGTTACTTTATATTTTCAGTGGAAGATAAAATGGAAAACTGTGACCAAAATTTGTTTCTTTCAAATTACGTCTTTAAATTTTTAGGTCACCTGAGACAATCCTTATTTGTCCTGAATATGTATGCTGATAATGACATTAAGTTACTTTTTAACAATAAACTTTATCAACTAGACCATTCAAATTTGAATACAGTATAGGTAGATATGATATTTTCAGCTATCACAATGGTAAGTATATATATTTACAATATCTACAGACAATATATCCATGTTAAGAAATTCTCTAGTCAATCTAAAATTCAGTTCAACCATTATTGCCCAATTTTTTTTGTTTTTTTTTTTTAAATGCTGGCTGTTTGGACAGATGATTTTTTTTTTCAATGATGGCTACTTGAACAGAAAAAACATGGATTAAATAAGAATTGATAGCTGTTCTTATATTTTATTCCATCTTAGCTACCGGGAGAGGGGCGGAGTGGGGGGACTGGGTAGTTGGCCGTCCATCCTTGTCGAAACACTGCCTGATAATGTACACTTAATATAAAAACACATTTGCTTCATATGACCAATGTCAAAGAAAACAGCATTTCAGGAAGATTTGACGACCACTAATGAACAAGTCATTATTTCTACGGGTAGAGATGAGGAACATGCTATATGCAGTATTTGAAACTGTCCCACAACTTCGTTTTATTTTGTACTGTGAGGGAATGAATTCTCAAATTTCATGTATTTTAATTCTCCTAACATATTTTTCAATATCAACCAATGTAGTTAAGATATTCAATTTGTATTTAAAAAATTCCAATAAAAGTGTAACGATCACAAACTCAAACAATAAAATCAATTATTCAATACCCTGCATTATCTATAATATCCTTTTCCACATAAAAATGCATAATATTTTTATTGATATCTGTATATAAATAGCTTTATTTTTGTGAAGTTATTTTCTTCATGAAAATGATGCTCTTGGAGTTAAGACAATAACTTTAATATCAAGCGTTAAGTCCTTGCATCATGGGAAATGATTAACTTATCTCTTACATCAACAGTGGCAAGATTTGAAAAAAAAATTCTGACTTTTTGGTTGAAAGAAAAACTACTAATAATTATTGTTTTTGGTAAGTCTGGATTTATTTGCCTGAGAACTTTTGAAACCTCTGTTTATTGTGCTTTACTTTCCTATTATTAATAATGAAAGTCTTATCTATTAGAAGAAATCAGTTAAAACAATACTTGGATATGATTTTTCTATCCTTGAATATGAAATTATTGTATTTAAGCTGTTTTTCAAAAGCAATACATTGTACAACATTGCCATCACTATTGAATGTTGTCCAATATAAAAATATGTCTTCCATACTGTTTAATGGGCTTCATAGTTTCTCCTGAACTTCTTAATAAATAAAATTTAATTGTCAACGCAAGAACAATGGGATAAACAATATCAAAGGCCTGCATGTCTGGGTTGGTTTCCAGTACATTACAACGTTAAATTGTGTTAAGTTTGATAAGTCTTGACTAAAGTTGATCCTGGTGTAGATCACGATAAGGTGTGTAAAGATAGAGGATCATTTGCATTTATCAGGCAATGAATGTCACATGGAGATGCCTGCAAATTCCCAATAGAATATATTGACAACATTTTAAAAGTATATCCTATTGCTGATAAGTCACTATATACTTGGACATTGTTTAAGTTAAGAATTGTTAAAGAAAAGGTCCCACAATAAGGATTTCTGTGAACTGGGCATTGTAAAAAAATCATAAATGTTAGATGCAAAATCACGTCAAAAAGTCACATTGAATGTTTTTCACTGAAAATTTACTAAATGAGTAGACGTCAAAAATTGAAACTAGTAACTTACCATATATCTGTATTTGTGATAGTGGTGACTTTCAAAATTTGTTTATTTTTAGAACAGTGGTGAATTCCAAAATATCTATTTATAGAACATTGGTGATTTCCCAGTAACATTTGTTTATATAATGAATTGTTTTATTTTATGATAACATCTACATATGCTGTGATTAGAATGATGCAGACAATCATCTAACAAGAGATAGTATGTCCTAATGTCCACAACAATTATTTACCTCTATTTATAAGAAATTAATAAACACTGTATTTCCTTGTGAACAGAAATTGTATCAAAGACAACTCGTTTATGAGTTCAAATCCCCTCAGGCGCTGTCATCCTCACTGCTGACTGAGGCTTTTTATAAACCTTCGTAAAATGGTAATGAAATAATAATTGTGTCATCATGTTTGACATCCTATAGAATTCACTTGGTATGAATATCGTTATTATTATGATACAAAGCTTGCATCAGTGAACGTAAAAGTAATGTATTCTCAGGATTTTTCTTCCTTTTGTTTGATTCAACAGTTCAGAATATTTATATTAAAACAAATTTATTAACAGAAATATTTTCTTTCCAATATTAGGATATGTATATCAATCGGCATTTAGTGCATACATACAATTATGTACATTGTATAAAAGTATGCCAATTTGGTGTTTGGTTTTATCAAATTACATCATATTTACTAATATATATCTTCTGTTCGTTAAATTTGGAAATTTTCATGATTTTAGATCAATGAAGAACCATCAACAAAAAGGTTGTCTAGATAATTTTAAGTGATTCAGAAAACATGTTGTAAAATTCACATATTCGCGTGTAGTAATGATGTCAAATATGAATTTTATGCTGAATCCAAGCACTAAACAAACATTATTAAAAATAATTTCCTGGTGTGTCAGGAATATTTGCATCTTTACACATATCAATGCCTTTATTACCTTTATTTTGCAATTTTCAAGCTTTTTACAATTTCGTCTTAAAATGTTATTCTGATAACTGTATGTAAGATTTCACTGTTATTCTACGTTTTTTTTCAATTATATAAAAACTGTTCTGATCAGTGTAATATTTAAATGTACAAAGTGATGCCCAGGGCTTTCAATCTTGTCAACGTGTTGATTGTATTGACAGCTTTGACGCACGGCACAGGTGTTTACTAAATTCTAAAAAATAAGGCTCTATTTTTTAACAGTCAGTGTTGTTCTGGTTTTGTCACAAAGTGCACCA